GTACCTGATGGCCATAGCTGGAAACACTCTGATCATTGTTATCACTCTTGTGGACTTCCACCTCAGGACACCAATGTATTATTTCCTCAGGAATTACGCCGTCTTGGAAATTGGATACACTTCAGCTGTCATCCCCAAAGCCTTGATCAACTTGGCACTGGGGAAGAAAACAATCTCTTACACGGGATGTATAACACAATGGTTTTTTTATTTCTTTTTGGGAACTACTGACTTCTTCCTACTGACAGTGATGTCCTTCGACAGGTATGTGGCCATATGCAACCCCCTAAGATATACTACCATCATGAACAAGCATTTCTGTACTTGGTTGGTACTGATTTCTTGGGCTGGAGGATTCACCTTGATTTTTTGTCAAACTATGTTTTTCATACAATTCCCCTTCTGTGGCTCAAACCCCATGGACCATTTTTTCTGTGACAATAAACCACTGCTGAAACTTCTCTGTGGGGATACCCATCTCCTGGAGCTCATTGGCTTCATCCTTTCTGCTTTTTCACTTCTGGGAAACTTGGCAGTCACCACAGTATCCTATATAATGATAATTTCCACCATCCTTCACATTCCATCTGTGTCAGGAAGGAAAAAGGCCTTCTCCACCTGTGCTGCTCACATCATTGTGGTCTCTGTCACTTATGGCAGTTGCATCTCTATGTACCTCATACCAGAGGAAGGTGAAGGGAAAAATTTCAGCAAAGCAGTGGCCATTCTCAACAATGTGGTTTGTCCCCTTATGACCCCATTTATCTACACTTTGAGGAACAAGCAAGTCAAAGCTGCTCTGAAAGATGCCTTCAACTGCAAGAGGACCACTCATAAAATATGAGGAACCTCAATATAATTGAAAAGAGAAGACACGAAAGAAACCTTAATTTGATGTTTATGGACCTAGGTTTTTTTTGAAAGCCCTTCTGGGCTGACGATAGTGGGATTATGCAGTATATAACTCTGTAAATATAAAAATAAAAACATTATGCAGCAAAAATCTACTGATGCTTCTTTGACCCTGAAAGACCCACTCTTTCTTCCCTGACTGTAAGGGATGTAAACAAAATTTCAGTAACAGGTACTGTAAAGATAGACATGATAGATAGATAGATGCACAGAGAGAGAGAGAGACGGAAATGGAGATGACAGAGATCAGTAGAGATCAAGTATGAGATCAAGATCAAGATATACTGTATAGAGAGATAGGGGTTATACAGATAGATAGCCAGGAAATGTGGAGTCATATTAAGTGGCTTTGAGTGAATTCAACGTCATATTTCTAAACGATTTTTTTTTTATGCAGCGGAAACGTGTCTTTTTAAAAATTTGTTTTGCTACATTCAATACATCTACACATAGATTTTGATGTGTTTCTCTAGGGCAATTGCTTGTTTCTGTTTGGAGACAATAGCAGCTTTTCTCTG